TGTCTAGTTACGTGTACACAAGTTCCCACACCAAATGTCCCACTTCACTACTACCAACATCTCTAAAGCCAGCCTTCCAAACCTTACTGTAAATAAGGGTGGCACCTGGGGTAAGACATCAAGTAGTGGGACCCTTCACACACCATAAAGGCCTGAAGGGGGAGCCAGGACTCAGTTCCAGCTAATTGTTGACATGTGAGAATAAAGGGCCAATGACAGCCAATTCTTTGGCTTTTTAAAGAGAAGTTAGAAATCAAGATTTTTCTGTGTACTTTTTCAAACTTCATTATATCATGTATGCCAAACAAAATATCTCTACAGACTGTATGTGGCCTGTGGGAAGCTATTTTAGAACCTTTGTTCTAGTAAAAATAAGTGGAAAATGCAAGCTAAAGGGGAGAAGAGTTAAAGAAACCAGGAAAGCAAGCATGTAGACAGGGTCTGGGGCCAGGAAGCTGTGAAAGGGGTGTCAACTATCAGAGCCACAAAGCTGAAAGGGATTAGACTCTAGAAAGGGGCAGTAGAGAAACTTATGAGAGGTATCATCCTCAAAATGTTTTACTATAGGAGGTATAGATGAAAGCAGATCCTGGTGGCCTAGTGGGTTATGCACTGAGCTGCTAACCGCAATGTCAGCAGTTCAAACCCACCAGTCTCTCATCAGGTGAAAGATGAGGCTTTCTACTCATAAAGATTTACAGCCTCTGAAACCCAAAGGAGCAGTTCTACTCTGTTCTATGGTGTCACTACAAGTTGTTATTGGCTCACTGGCAATGAGCTTGGTTTTGGTTTTATAGATTAGAGAAAATTAGAAGATGCAGGAACCCTATTTTATTTTTGTTTAAGGAGGGGGATATACGATGCACACTACTATAGACCAACAAGTTATTTCTCCATTGTCTGCCTTGACTTCTCATTAATTAATAATAAGCCCTAATTCATAGGACTGTTGTAAGGATTAAATAAGGCAATCCATGTCATTGTCAAGCATCAGCACCATGTCTGGCACATATTAAGTGCTTAAGACATGTTTGCTACTGCTATTATTAAGCGGCATTGAGAGGTGGAGATAATTTGGTTATTACATGTTTAAGATCATATTATTAAGTGTACTGCTTGGATTTGCCCCTAAGGAGTATAGCTTCAGACCCTACTTTTAAGCCTCCAAGCTCCTTTGTCACTCAACACCTGGTTAGGCTAGGTTCTTAATCTGCATAACAAGGAAGTCTACAGTATCTTCTAGGACTAATAATTTATACTACCAGCCAACCCTCTAATCACCTTATTTCAGGGCAGCAATGGGACAGAAGTGTCCTACTTCTGTGAGCTGAAGGTGAACCTATTCACACACCTACATGCAACTAAGTTACACTATAGAAGTTCAGGCTTGGGGTGGGCCTAACCTTCTAAGCATGAACTAATCCATAGGTTAAGGAAGGAAGGAAAGGGGTTTCGTGAGTTAGAGAGATTACTATATTTCTGGTAGGCCAATGGCCCTCCTGAGTAGACCCTGAACTCATCCACATTCCTCAATAATTATGAACTGGAAACTACTTATAAGCCTGGCAGGGAAGCATGATAGACTTTCAACATAACAGCTCCAGAACACAGAGTGATTGTTATCCTTTTGGGGCCAGGGATCTCTAGGAGAACACGGGAAAAGCTCACTCCCATCCCTTGAAAACAGTCCACATGTGTGCTCCCTCAGATACACAAGCACACAATTTTACCTGCAATTATAAGGTTCACTAGTCCTCTACAATCTCTCCCTAAGGCTCTCTGAAATACATCTATCCTGTTCCAGGCTTGTCCTACCAAGGGATTCAAAATTGCCCCAAGATCTGGACTGGGGTTTCTAGGCAGCTGTGCTCAGGAGATACATCATCAACTGTGTCTCAGCATATTAATCTGAAAAGACAAAGGGCTCCCACTATCTCCCACACCAACTTGTACTGAGGGTATGTGGGGAACCTGCAATTTAACCTCAAGAAAGAAGTGGATGTGAATTTAAGAACACAACCTCAAGAATAGTTCATGCCCCCCTTTTGTCTCAAGCTCAGAAAAACCTTAGTAGAGCTGAAAGAAGCCAAGTCAAGCTATCTTACTCCCCCACCCCCACCATTGCCCCCAATGGCAAGGTCACATTCCAACGAAGAAACCAGTCAAGGTTACCAATTAAGTCATAATAGATGATTTCAGACCCACGTGGGTTTGAAAACTATAGGATACCCAAGGAACCATATAAGCTCACTTACAATTCAAGAAGAAATCACAATAAAGTACTCCCCTTCCACTATAAAATTAACAAAATGGCTAAGTGTTGACAAGGGGCTGGATGTGCTCCTATATACAATTGACATTTTTATAAATGCATGCAGTTTGAGGAGGGTAACTTGATTATTTTTATTAAAAATGTAAACACATGTACCCTCTGGTGTTGCAATTTCCTACAGGTTCTTTGTCTTTTGCAAAAGTAAGTCAAGGTACATAGGCAACCAGGATCAAATCATGATTCTGTAAAGTGGCCAAACAAGAGAAACCATTAACTCATGGCTGCTGGGACACTGTGTAAATGGAATGCCACATAGCCATGAAAAGAATGAGCTTTAAAAAAAAAGAAAAGAATGAGCTTTTGGCAAGAATGGGGAGAAACTGGAACACTTGTACGTTGCCAGGAGTGGGGGAGGGGTGTTAAAAATGGTGCAGCCATTATGAAAATCTGCTCAAGCAATTCCTTCAAAAGTTAAATTTACAAAAATAAATAAATAAAATAAAAAGTTAAATTTACAATTACCAAGTGATCCAGCAGCTCCACTACTAGACTCAAACTCAAAAGAACTGGGCACAGCAGCTCAGACAGACACATGCAGCCCCATGTGCACTGCAACATTATTTCCAACAGCCAGCAGAGGGAAGCAAACGAATAAACAGCCCACACGTGGCACACACATGCACTAGATACAGCAGTTCTCAACCTGTGGGTCGTGACCCTTTTAGAGACTGAACGACCCTTTCACAGGGGTCGCCCAATTCATAAAGTAGCAAAATGACAGTGATGAAGTAACAACGAAAATAATGTTATGGTTGGGGGTTACCACCAAGGGTTGCAGCCTGAGGAAGGTGGAGAACCACTGCACTAGAGTATTGTTCAGCTATGAGGAGAAATGAAGTTCAGAGACCCAACACCCAACGCAAAGATGAACCAGAAAAAACAGTATGCTCAGGGAAATAATTCATGTAAGTTAGAATCAAATACAGGAAGACTATAGCCTCACGACATATCTACACTAGGCAAATCCATCAAAACAAAAGATGAGCGGTTCCCAGGGGTGGGGAAAGGGGTCCAGGGAGTGGGGAGGGGATGACAATGAGTTTCTGTAAGTACTGTTATAAAAAGTACTCCAAGACAGGTTAATTGAACAAATTAATTTTTAAAAGAGGTTAGTGAGAGCGGGTCTTATAACATGGTTCCTTTAGTCCGCAAATATGTAAGGCTACAGATGCATGCTGGTACACAGTACATGAAGTTATCTTCTTCTGACTGGTGAGCCCAGAAGGAGACCCACAGCAAAGTACAAAGAACACAGGTGAGAGTTAATTTACAGATGGCATCTAAGGAATTTTTGCTCTCTTTATTCCTTTCAGCAAAAGCCTAATGAATGTTGTTATACAAAATATATAATACTCACCCCTTGGAATTTTTAAAAAGAGAAATGAAGAGCTAAGCAGAAAGGAGAGTGAGATCTACATGCAATGCACAGCACGAAACTAGTAAAGGAGGCTGAGGAGGAGCATGGACTCCTCTCTGTTGACACCCTGCAGACAGCACAATGATTCATGCTTTCCACTGGGGTGAATAGCTCAGCACTCCACTCCACTTGCCAGACACTCATAACAATGGGAAGTATGGGAGATGTCAGGTGGGGAGGGGCCAGCTAATATAGTTAGTCCAAATCCTGATCAACACAGGCGACGTCCTCTGGCAGAGAGCAAGCCTCCTCAAACACACAGTACAAAGGCACAACAGGGGTCCTACCAATGAACACGTTTCAGTAACACAGAAAGGGAAGCGCCAGCAACAGATGAGGACAGGGCACATCTCTATTGGCCAAAAGAACCTCAGGGCTACCCCTTTGGGTAACGAAGAGCTGTTGTAATAGCACCAACCCTCTCTGCCTGCCCCACGGTGAGAACTGGCTAGGATTAAAATTCATCACAGAAGAAAACCATCTGTACTTCATTCAACCGCCCTTCTTCATCTAAGGCCCATGAAATAGAGCATCACTTGATTTATCTTCCATGATTTTCAGCAGCGTGGCTATACCTCCAACATGCTCCCCAGAGAAGCTAGCAATACATGTCTAGCTTAGTAATTCTAGAGACAAGACCAGCTGTATACACGAAGGAAGGGGCTTCACAAAGTTCCTGGAAAAATTCCGTTATCTTATAATACCATGGGTTTGAAGGAGCATACAAAAAACCTTCTACTTGTCCCCTCACTTATTTCCCCCAGTGACATATGAAGTTTCCTTAGTCCTCAGCATACTCTTTCAACAATGCAAACAGAAGGGAAGCACCTTAGGTTCCTAACACCATAGTAGTGACTCTTATATGACACATTAAAACGGCCATACCATGTTGGGAGCTTGCATTCTCCTGAAGCCCGCCCATCTTGGTCGCCCCTCCAACCTGGGTTATGTATGAACCCGTGGCTCCATGGAGGGGAAGACAGTCTTGAAGGGAAGTGTTCCCGATTTCTTGCATTTGCCAGAATTGATTCTGCTTAGAGTCCAGCTCATAACCTATGATCCTCCTTAGCAAGGATCATGGATTTCTGCCACTGGAGACAAGGCTCCCTGGCTTCAGAGACAGGTGTCAGTTAGGAAGTCCTCAATTGAGATCAACTGCCAAGCAAGCTTCACAGCCCTTTCAGGCTACTGACACCGCAGGGGAGCCAAGGGGAGAAAAGTTTCAGCAGCTTATGGAGAAAGGTGACTTACCTCTGAGGTTTCCGAATATCCCAGAGGCCCACTCCTTCCTTTGAATTGGCTGTGGCCAATAGCCGGGGCTCCACTGGGTTAAACATGACACTGTGAAAGGCTGATGGGTAGTTGGCCAGGCAGAAGGGCTCTGTGGAACAAGGAAGGATGATGATCAGTTCATCTTTGACTGGAGCAGTGGCAGCAGGACAAGCAGGAGTGCGATGGTAAGTAGGCACCACCCCCTTTAATAATCACTGCCAGAGACCAAAAGCCCAAAGTAGCAATAATCCCCAGTCACCCTAACCTCAAGTCCTTGTACACACTTTCTCTACACACAGTCTGTAAAAAGCACTTCAAAACATTTCACCAAATCTCAGACTCTCATACTCAGAATTGCATCCAACATTATTCAGATGCTGTGACTCAAAAATGGGCCCTCTATAGGGGAAGGGAAGCTATTTTACAGTAAATAGGACTGAATTCCCTATCAGTTGAAAGGAAACCATTGCTAATTATTAGTGTGATTATACCTTTAATCCAAATGTACTAGGTTTACAAATTAAATGTTTTAAAGTTACACATAAATTTGATGAAAGGTATCCCAGACCAACAGGGTCGTTGCCCCTTCTGGTCACATTGCTTCCCAAGCTGAAAAAGAGGGCAAGTGAAGAAAACAGGCTCAGTCTAGAGCAGTGGTTCTCAACCTTCCTAATGCCGCGACCCTTTCATACAGTTCCTCATGTGTGGTGACCCCCCCACCCACCATAAAATTATTTTCGTTGCTACTTCATAGCTGTCATTTTGCTGTTATGAATTGGGTGACCCCTGTGAAAGGGTCGTTCGACCCCCAAAGGGGCCGCACCCACAGGTTGAGAAATGCTGGTCTAGAATTTTATGACTTCCCTCACAGTAGTGGAATACTTTTTAAAAAGCACCTAACAGATGGATTGCTCTTACATTCCACCAGCTCCTAATCACTTCCTCTAGAAATCCTGCAGCCCTCTGCATTTATCAGCAAGCTCCAAATGAAGGAGGAATCCCTGCTCCAGCTGGGAAAGCATACTCCAGTGGAACCTCTTAGAAAGAAGTGTGATAGGCAGAAAGCCCTGCCTAGTGTATCATTTCCATAATGCAATCTGCCCAGGCCTCCAGGCAGCCGATGCGCTCAGTCACCCCAGCCAGCGGGCAGTTCAGACAAAGGGAATTTCACCTCCCAAGCACACAGTGACTCCACCACAGCTGCTGCTTGCCTGCTTGAGTCTAAGAATTAGCTTCTCCAATAGCTTGAGCCTCAGGCATGAGCACAGCCCAGCATATTCAACGTTGAGGTTACAGAATAATAAAAAAGACCCAGACCCCAGTAACAAGAAAGGAAATGAAGACAGGGCTGTAACTCCATGTGCATAGGGATGATCATTACAAAGCTGTGCCAAAGATGGGGAGTGGCTTGGTCCACCCAGAGGGTGGTGCAGAAGGGGACTTTGAAGACAGGCAAATTAGAGAAAGAAACCTCTCTGCAGGAAATAAGATGTATTTCCTGAAGAACTTTGGAGACATTCTACAGAATAAGTTTTTCATTTTTACCAAGATTCAAAGAGCACATTTAGAATAGGAACTCACACTGATAATTCCCCTTAGAATAGAGTGTATTTGCAATTTTTAAATAAATAGCAGGGTGAGATTCTATGTTTCTCTCAACCAGGTAGATGCATATGTCAGCAGTGCTGGCCTTGACGATGAGATGTCCCACCTTCTGCTCCACTGGGGCCACTAAACACCATGTCCTGGTAGGGTTATGGACACAGGTGGCTGGAGAAGGGTTGGCCTCATTACCGCTGACTGTTTCAGAACAGAAGAGGACCTCCAAAGACACATCTCTGCCCCATAGTACAGTTTCGCATTTCCTCTCCCAGACCACATAAGTCATAAATTGGATCTGCAGTGAACTTGAGATCAAATTCTCCAACCCAATCCAATAGCTTTTTTGCGCTGTGATCCTAACCTCCATGGGGAGACTCTCTGATGTCCCAAATGAGAACCTGGCCATCATCTGAGGAGCTGGCAAAAATGTTGTCATTCACTGGGCTCACCGATAAACCATATACCGCATCTTCATGGGCAAACACATCCAGGGTCTCGCTGCTGAAAGACAGAGAACAAGAGAGAGACACAAAGGCACGCAAGAGGCACACAGTGCAGGGTCCCACACCTCTGGTATCCAGGGTAGAGTTCCCCAATTTTAAGAGAAAAATCAATCTAGCCAAAGTGGAAGGATAGTATAGTATGCGTTGGCTTTTTTTCTAAAAGGTTTCTTTTCAAATAGTAAAGAAACTTCTTATAGATTTCATAGTAAATTTGCTTTATGCGGCAAACTGTCATATTCAAGCGATTCAATGGGTAAATTTCATGCCTTCATTTATTACATTTGTGGTTCTCTGTGTAAGACTTAGGAACAGTCTTTGATTTCTGAAAACCAAGAGAAAGCCATAAAGCAACCAGGTCTAATGCCAACAGGGGTAGGAATTTGACACCAGAAGAGGAACTCCTGGCAGGCTGGCCTGGTAGCTAAGATCAGGGCTCTGACATCATATTGCCTAGGTTCAGACCCCTGTACCACTTGACCCTCAGGTTAGTTGACACCTCTGTGCCTCAGTTTCCTCATTTGGATTTAAGATCACAATAGTATCTCCTCATAAATTACTGTGAGGGTTAAATGGATCTCTGTCCATACAAAAGTGCTTGGCACACACTAAGAACTCAATGAAATATTAGTTGTTAATTATAATAACAACTAATTATTTATAATAACAACTAATTATTATTATTATTAAGCAGTATGTTCCCTTCCCTTTCAATAGCTCATTTCATTTTCACTTGAAATTATGAGTTCATACCAACTTCACAAACATTTACCTTTTCAAATCAAAATTTTTTCAGAAAAGGATAATTTGTTTCACATTATTTTCTTCAAGACACAAAAACAACTATGGTCTAAAGGAATAAATGCTCTGTTCACATGAAAAACATAGTCACCTTCATACACCAACAGTGTATTTACCTTTCAACATCATGGAGGATAACTTGCTCATCATTTCCTACAAAGGAAAAAAACCAGACACTTGTACATCCCTGTGAGATGTTCCCTATCCACATAAATTTTGTATTTTAAGATTTTCAAAGGAAAAAATATAAACAATATAAATTAGCAAAGTTAACTAGAAAATGATTTATTAAAATAATCTAAGGATAGTACTTCTTATCAAGAATTTTAGAAAGCCACGAGGTATAACATATTAGCAGGTCCAAAATGTACTATCCAGAGGTTGATATAAAAAACTCTGGCCACTGAGGAAATGGGTAAGTGGTAAAGGCAAACCAATCCACCACACCAAGTTAGGGGCATCTTCAGAGCATGAAACCTGTTCAAACCAGTCCAGGAGATGCTAATGACAGGACATGGGAACAGGCTTCAATTTTTTTTAATTCTGGCTATCCAGAACTGTAATTGGAACAGGAAAAATTATGGATGGAAGGACTGGATGGGGCCTCAAAAGAGGCCTGGTGAGCCCTTTCAGGAGCCTGTGCAACAGGGGACTGCCAGCAGGACTGTGGAGAGGGCCACACTAAGCGGTGTGGTTGGCAGCCATCTTTGAACAAGGTACCACTTTTTCAGATTCTGCTCAAAATCTGACAGGCAAGAATGTGTTTGTCATGCACCACAAACACTGCCTTTGTTCTCTAGGAGGGAGACTTCAAGTTGGACTTTGACCCGTCATTTTCCTATTCTAGTTCACCCAAATTTTAAAAATTCCAATCTGTTCCAGTTTTGCTTCCTCAGCCTTGACTAAACTACAAAGAGCCAGTTTATAGTCCCGTTTTCTTGTTTTTGTTTTCAGCAAATACTTAGGAACTGTGAGACGGGGGGTGTTTCTAGCTTCTTCGATGCCTCACTTTTTCTGTAAAATAAAGCTATAACTACCATTTAGAACAGGGCTGAACACTTAATAACCCCCCAAAAAGTATTATTCCCCCAATTCTTATTTTTTTCTTTAGTTCAATTATTTTAAAATTTTACATTTCTTTTACTGTTGCTAAGAATACATACTGTAAAACATAACACATTCAAATTGTGCAACCATTCTTAGCCTCCTTTTCTAAGTCGCTCCTCCTCCCTAATATCATAAACTCACTGTCCTCTCTAAGGTACCTAGCTAATCTTTCCAGTTGTTAATTTGCTTCCAAATAAATAGTTCTTAAAGGGCCTAACGCTCAAGGCAGTTATTCTTTACTAGTTCAGCTAAACTATTGTTTGACTTTAAGAAGACTTAGGGAGATCTTTTTGGTTTAAGGCTTGAAGATGATCTCTGGGCAATGGTTCCAGAGGATCTCTTAAAACGTTAACATTTGATCATTATGTGATTCTAAATGATGGGACAGATTTTATCTGTAACTATTTTTCTCTTGTATTTCTCTTTATCCCATCAAAGAGCCCAAAAATACATTCGTGACATGTAGTCGATTTCAAATGGCTTATAGAGCCCAAAAATAAAAACCTGAACAAGAAGAGAAAGGAGGGTAAAATACCTAAACAGGTTTAAACTGCTACCATGCAGGGAAGACAAATTATGGGAAACCATGGCTCAATGATATACAAATAGGCATTAGCTTAACTCTCCTTTCTCTAAAATTCTAGTCACTGTAGATTTCACAAGGTGGAAATATCCCTTCCTCTCACCTCCAGAGAATACTTTGGTGTTGCCACTGTTGAAAGCCAGGCAAAAAATGTTGGAATGATGCTCTCCTTTCAACTGTATGGGTTTGACTCTGGATTGGATGGCTTGTTCCATGTGCCATAGCAGAACCCGGCGATCATCTCCTCCTGGAGAGGGGAGCAAGAATCCAAGGTTAAAGCAGTTGAGATTAAAGCCTCAAACCCCCAACCTTTCCAAAATTGCAACCCTCAACCCCATGGGATTCTGACAAGGTACATAAACCCAGGATTCTGTCCCTTAACCACCTGTAGGCACATGACTTCTAGGGAATGCAAGCACTTACTCCCAAGGGTCTGAATTGCAAACAGGCAGACACAGAGATGGTAAAGGATACGTACGCAGGTTACCACGAGCCTTCTCAGAGCCACCTTGTTCCTCTCCAGAGGTCCTAATGTTTAAATATTTTTTCATGTGCTACCTAGTATCTGTCCATTAATGTCCCTTTTTTGCCTAAGAGAGCTAGTTTGTTTTGCAACTAAAGACCTCTACAGTAATATTTCTAGCACACTAGTTTTCAAAGCACTCCTCTTGATGTCCTCTCACTGACTATGGGACACTGCACAAAATGACAACTCAGGAGTTGCCTGGCTCTCACAGCAGTAGGACATAGATAGAACCTGGCTCTCATGAAGTTTCCCTGCTCACTCTTCTGTATAACTCTCAATAGTGTGCTTTAAGTGAACAATATTACAGTGTATAAGCCAGCTCCTTAAGAATGGGAATATATATGTTCTATAAATATTCTATACTTGCAGATGGATTAAAAATATCCAAAAAGATGAGAAACAGCAGACTGGGAAATGAGGTTAGAAAAGAAAGCTAAGGATAGACTTGGGAACGAGCTACATCTATCTACTTTAAATATTTGACATTGTTTAATTTTTTTTATAACAAACTCATATAATACTCCTTTTCTAATAAAGTTTCAAGCTAAAACAGCAGTAAACAGGCAATAAGCCATATGAAGTGCAATACCCCTGCTTCCCCTCTTCTATTCAACTCTAATTACAACACTCACAATGCATAACAAGTCCAGCTATTAAACTGAATCCATGAATGCTACCTTGGGAAAGATGTCCAGAGTTCTTTGTTAAAGAAGATAAAGCATAAAATAGTATGTCTGCCAACATCTCATTAGGGTAAAAAAAATGTTAATGCTACTCTGAGTCTGCTTTTCTGTACAAGATTTAGGATCAGTTTATCAATATCCATAAAATAATTCAGAAATTTTAAAAATAAAGTCTAAGTAGCAAATAAGATATTTAAATAGTTAAGCATCTTAAAAGCAGGTACAGGGTGGCTATAAGCATCTCAAATTTTTACAAGAAAAGGATGTTCTCTCTCACCACTCCTATTCAATATCAAAGTAAACTCCTAGCTAATACAACAAGAAAAGAGAAATAAAAATATACAGGCTATGAAGGAAGGAATAAAACTGTCTTTGTTCATAGATGATCTGGTGGTCTATGTAGCAAACTCTAAACTTCTCAAACTAGCACGTGACAGTAGTGCTGTGAGATTGCAGGATACGGGGTTAATACATGAAAATCAACTGTTTTCCCATATACCAACAATTAACAAACCTCACTGCCATCAAGTCCATTACAATTCATAGCAACCCTATAGGACAGGGTAGAATGCCCCTGTGGGTTTCCAAGAATGTAACTGTCTATGGAGACAGAAAGCCTCATCTTTCTCCCTCAAAGCACCTACTGGTTTTGAACTTCCAACCTTGTATTAGCAGCCCAAGGTGTAACCCACTATGCAACTGAGCAAAAAGAGGCATAATCTGAGTGTTGAGCTACTTCTATACCAACAGAGGGAGCAAAACACCTGTGCCAGAGGAGGGCTGTTGATATAAGGTTAAATCTGTTCAAAATATGAAAAAGTTCTAGTCCCCTCCTCTCCGTCAATCACCTCGTGATTGAGACAGGCAGATAGTTATCGTATAGTATCCCTCAAAAAGGCCTGCTGACCAGCAAATAATCCAAGAGAAGAAGCTGGGCAGTTAAGCCAGCTCCATAGCTCTGGCAAGGGGGCTCGTAGGGTCTAGCCTCTTCGGGGCATGGGCGATTGGCACAGGAACCTCTTAGGAAGGTGAGTGCAAGGAAAGGGGCAAGCAACAGCCTGGTTTTTAAACTATGGTTTCTTCACAAACAATTGTTTAGCTCCAACTCATCTGAGAACCCCAAGAGAACAGCTACTCTGATTCTAGTAATTTTGCATTAATTCCATATTAAAAACTATTAGTCCCCAAGAGCACTATAATCACATTGTGGTAGCAGCTTTGAATTTACAGAAAACTTTTACATTTCAACTCTCTAAGGTGCTACCATTTACCAGCTATGTGCCTTTAGGAAGGTAAATCAGCCTCTCTAAATTGGAATACTCCCATCAGTAAAATTGATGTTTCCCAGTATGATTATTAGTATTAATTAGATAAATCTATGTAAAGAGGTTGGCCCACTTACATGTTGGATAACGCTAGCTAATTATCACACTATTTGAACTCAAACAATAATAGGTGACATTAGCTGAGCTTCCTATGGACTGGAGACTACCCTAAGGATTTGATGTGTGGTAGATCTTCTAGTCCTCATTAACAACTCTATGAAACAGGTGTTGCTGTTATCCTTATTATACACATGAAGACACTCTAGAAAAGTGAAATAACCCTAGAGGAATGTCCCTAGCCACTGTCAACTGGAACTGAATCCAGGTAAACTGGCTCTGGAAAGCATGCCCCTCACTATGATGTAATTCAGGTTCTTGAATACAACTGAGCCTGGCTTCAGAGCCAAGGAAGGAATGGTGAATGGCAGATTGGTGAGCATATGACCTTTGTTAAAGGACAAGCCACTACTCAGGCCCAGCTCAAGGTTGCGAGATCTTCCAATTTTTCAACAATAGCCAGCAACCCGCCTTGCAGGCTGCATGAAGGCTCAGAGAAGGCTGTATTTGGCCTGTGAGGAAAAAGTTGTTTGTTCCTTAGGCAAACAGGACAGGACGACCACCTTTCATGGCTTAAGGCCGTAGAAGCATGCTGACAGCTCATCCTGGGGAGCTGATTGAAGCAGCTGCTGTCCTCTCTCTGCCTGAGATAAAACAGACACTTTTGCCTCCTGTTCCCTGGCAAAAGCTGCAGATACTAGTCACCTACAAACGTATCAGTTTCTTTATGTTCCCAGCGTTATCATCCCCTCACGTCTATGAATAACTTGAAGTGTTAATGCTCCTTTGACTACTCTTAAAGACCGGTGTAACCTGTCACGTATTTCGAGGCTGTGTTCTGAGAAAGTATTTAATAAAGCTAATAAAGCTCTGGATCCTGGAGTAACTATACTGTAGGGATCCCTTCGCTCCAACTGCATCTATCCTTTCCTTATCTGTAAGTTTTCTCATTGCAGATTGTACCCCTTTCGAACCCATTAGTAATGTAAGAAGAGAGCCAGGATCTTTATCTTAGATTGGCCCATAGATAAATTATGGTTGGGTGATTTGCCCATGGTTCCTGTACGGTGAGAGGGCGGGGGGCAGGGTGGTGGTGATGCACACAATGCTACTTCCTAAATCAGGAAAGTGAAAATTCAGATGGCCTGTGCAGGGAGGTGTGGTGAGCTAAGTGAGGGGCGCCACACTGAGTTTGCTCTTCACTACAGAGAAAAATGAGTGTGGCGTCTACAGCAGAATCCACCTTCTGCCGCCACCCCATCTTTACTCCTCTGCTAAAGCACCCTTCTTCTAAAAGCGGAGTCCACTTATCTTCCTATTCACTCATTTTTTCATATCTCCAATTAGGTAAATAAGGCAAAACATTATCCCTGTTTTAAAGATATGAAAAGTGCCTCTGTGACAAGGGCTTTGGCTTCTGCAACACTATAACTAGGCAGCTAGGAGTTGAAGAAATGAGATGGCTTCTAAAACTACATGACTTGGAACAATTGGAAGTTGAGCAGACCTAGAATTTGTAAATCCTAAACCAGCACACCAATCCCTAGACAATGTCTGCTATTCTTGAACGGAAACAGAATCTGTAGAATGTTAGAGACACCTAAGAGTCAGTCAGGAAACTGAGACACAAAGAAATAGCCTCAAGTGACCAAGAGCGCGCACACACCATCAGTTAAGGCGGGTTTGTGTGCCTAGCCAATTTCAGTTCACAGTGACCGTACAGGAAACAGCAGAACTGCCCCCATGCAATCCTGCAGGAGTGGACGGCCAGGCCTGTCTTTATGCGGTCAGGCCTCATGTAAGAGGGGGAGTGGGACTTAAGTACAAGGTGTCTGATTCCAAAGTCCCTGTTCTCCCTAAGCACGGCGGGTTCAAACCACTGGATGGTTTTAGATGTTAGAGAAATAATTTTCATAATTATGTGTTTAAGGAATATTAGAAAAATGAACTAGCATATAAAAATCGATCATTTCATAGATGAGTTTCATAAACATTGGCTATAAAGTTTCCTTCTAAATAATGTTTTTAAGTTGGAAAAGGGATGTCAACTTAGAAAAAAATATTAACAGCACAGATGATAAGACAAAAATGGAAAAAAGTGGGTCACAAACATGTAATTTGGAGGCTAATTTGCAGGCATTTTGACGATCTCGTTAAGATAGGGGCCTCTGTTGCCACTTTGGTGGAAAATGCAAAGGGCAAAGTTATGAAAACTTTAAGGTAATGAATGAGTTGCTGGGCCTGTGGGCTCAGGACCATAGTTTCGTGGTTCACCAAAGTTAATCTAGTGATTAGCAAATGGTGTAAGAGACTACCTTTAATGTGCAACTATGGGTCTCTCCCTGTCTGTGAAAAAGAAAAGTGATGTAAACCGAAAGATATCTGGAACCGATTAGTCAAATGAATTAATGGAACACATAAACACCAGTTTCGACATCCTGAGACCAGAAGAACTCAATAGTACTTGGGTACCACTAGCAACTGCTCAAAAATATCAGATTAGATGGTCCTGGTTAGACTGGGAGAAAAAGGTGGAATAGAACTCAAAATCAGAAAAGAGACCAGAGACCAGGCTTATTTGTCAGATAGAGAGACTGGTGACACCCACAAAACTCTGACCCTTGGTCACCCTTCAGGTCTGAAATTATACTCACCT